CTCACAGAGTGATACCTGAGCATGTTTGTGGGAAAGGAACACACATCAAACATCATGCAGGAAAAGATTAAAGTATGAAATTAATAACATGCTACCAGTGGGAACCTAGCCTCAAAGTCAGTATGACAATAAATCTATATCAACTACTGGTTTTCCTAATATGCAGTAAGTCTTTTAAAAAATACACTGAAAAATAGTGTTTAATTAGCAAAAAGTAGCCAGACAATTATATAAGTATAAAGTCAATGTACATTGACTTTATTCAGTACCCTCCAAGGTCAATAGCACCCTCCAGGTCAATACAAGCACCTTTTTTATGATATAAACTGTTTTAAGGGAAAATGGGCAGCTCCTGTGTAGAAACATGGGGAATCATAAGCAAGAATGCCTGGATGCAGAATGCAAATATTTCAGATGAACTTTTAGCAAATGGGTGCCCCAAAATTGGTTTGATATTCTTCAGAGCAAAGTAGGGTGACTTTCAGTTCATTTTACAGCTCTTACTGTGGAATTCAGCCTCTACAACAGTAAATTCCTCAAGGTCTCATTCCTCAAGTTTCTGACAAACCAGTAACAATAACCTAAAGAGGAAGAACTAAGAATTCAGTAGGTTTTTAGTTACTTCTTGTAAATAGCCATTTCTTTTTTATTTCCTTAGATAGACCCAAAAACCAATGAGATGACAATAGAGGCTGCACTTGACTCCACACTTGTCTGTGGTTAACAGGTTTCATTCAATGCAGTTTCAGTAAGCAAAATTGAAAGATCAGCTTACATAAGAATCAATTAAAAGAACATTTGAATTTTTTTTATTTGCATTTTATTTTCATATATTCAAAAGTTCAACAAATATCTTAAAGCATCATCATAAATCACAACTGACTCCAAAAAATCCTTTAATCTCAAAAGCAGATGAATATTCAAGAGCTGAAATCAACAGCATCGTGTTTTCCTAGACTTGCACTCTAGTGATGTTGTGTTTTGAAACACATTTTAATCCAGCATTTTTTAGTAAGCAAAACCATAGGGTCAACCAACATCTTCTATAAAAAATATCCCTTTCTGTCCATCTTAAAAATTTCTGAAACTGTACAGTGTACATATGAAAGGAAAAAAAGATGCCAGAACAACTGCTTATCTCAAAGCCTCTTCAAAACATTAGAAGAAACATGGCAGCATATGACTAAAATGAAAATATGAACTCACATTTTATACCTGAACCTTAGCTGTTTCAAAAACAAGTAAAAAATTTAAGAAATAGAAAACCCACCACCATGTGAGAACTGTAATTCAAAGGCTGCAATCCATATTCTGAATCCTTTTGTTGAATATGAAGAAATTAGACATGCCACATATTTAAACAGATTTATTCATAAGCATATTTCTCTAGTCAAACTCAAAGCTTTGGAGAGAAAGCCTGTTTCTCCTAACTTCAGAAACAATCCCAATAGTATTTTTAGATTTTACATGCAATATGTTACCAAAGTAAGTGCTCCCACTGAGGCCTGTGCCTAAAAGATGCTGTGTTTGTGAGCTATTCTCAATACACCTGATAGATGCCAGCACAATGGTGGTGGCATTATGTAAAAAGGAGCTTGCACTTGATGGAAATTACTCCATGATCTGCACACTCTTAAAATTTAGACATCTTAATCAAAAGCTGTTATTTTTATGAGCATCCTACAGCACTTTAAAGAAGTTAACTCATTCTTATTTTACATGGAAATGAAAGAAGCAATGCAGATTTACACAGCAGAAATAGAATCTGCAGTTTCCAGCATAGTCTATGCTCTGCCACACAACACTGCCTCACCACCCTGCCTCAATTATTCATGAGGTGTTCTGCATTCTTTATAAAGCTCCTGCTTTAACTGGGATGTGAAACAAAGTAATGCCACGGGCATTGAATAATGCATGAGTGACATCATGGCAGCCCTGGGGAGCCGGGCCAGCACAGCCCTGCCAGCACAGGCACAGCCCCACCACACCAGGGCTCCAGCACCTGCTCCTGCAAAGCTCAGCTCCAACACTGCTCACACCATGACTGAACTCTTGAGAAGTGATTCCTTGGCAAACAATTCCCCTGGAGCTGCCCTCTTTGCCCTCTGAGCTCTGCTGTGCATTTCTGAGTAGCAAAGCCAGGGTGTGCTGCTGTTGTGGTGTGTTGCAATGTCCTGTTTTAAACTTCCGAGTCCCTTCCCAGGTGTGCTTATGCCTCTCTCCCTTCCCCCTCACCCCTTGCTGAGTGTGCCCTGTCAATCAGGCTAACATACCAGCAAGGCGTCGTGTGATTGGTCCCTCAGGCTAACATACCAGCAAGGCGTCGTGTGATTCGTCGATTTCAAAGGATGCTCCTCAGGCCTGGGGGTCATTGGCCTGTCTAAGTGTCATCCTCCCTTGAGACCCTGCCCCCTTCACCTGGTTGGTAACTCACCTGTCCCCTCCCCTTCCCCTGTCCCTGAGCTTAAAATGTTAATGAGACCATGCGGCCGGCATTCTGTTAGCAGCAGTGGCCCAGTGCAGACGCCTCTGTACCAATGGAATAAACATCTGGCAACCTTCTAGCAGAATCCACTCCTTCCTTCTCTTCACCATCGCCAGAAGCTCTCTCTCCTGAGGAGAACGGAGTCCTGTCTTGTGCCCCGCTGCACTCTGCCGCCAGCCAAGGTATCTCTGGGGTAAAACACCGCAGTGCTGCCTCTGGCCCAGCAGCGAGGGTCAGAACTGGCCTAGGCACCATCTAACTGGTTATATTGGGATACATATTCCAATATGCTGCCCATGAGCTGAGGCACAGCCTGCTCACATCACAGCTCACTCCCAGCTCTGGGACTCACTGAGCACATCCCACAGACACCACAGCCAGCACTTCTGGGACAAGGAACTGCAGAAACAACTTCACACAACTCAACTCATCTACTTCACCCTCAGTTTGCACCAAAACCCTCACTTTCCTTTTAAAACCTACATTTTGCTCCTCTAAGACAAGCTCTAATGCCTACATTTCACACAAAAGTAATTAGGTAAAACATTTTTCCATCCAATCACTGGATGGTACTGAGGCATCTGATCCTTAAGGTAACCTTACAAGGTTTCCACCCCGTGAGTTTATATTTATTTTAAAGGGACATATGCATTGAATGTAGCTAAAGCAGATGAGAAGGTGTGGGTCCTGGTTGAACTACTTCTAATATGGGATTCAAAAATAAGCAGCACTTGTGCCTATTGTGATTAAATTTTGTAAATGCACATAGGATTCTTTTTTTCATGAAATATCCAATTTCATGTAAAGACACTGTCCTGTCTTGCTTTACATTGCTTGCTAGCTTACATTAGAAAACAAAGCCTTCCCAACACTGACCTCTAGCACGAAAACCAAGAACAGTTAATTAAACCTCTCCTGCATTCCATTAAGTGACTTGTTGAAAGAAACCAACTGTACTTGGTGAACTGTACAGAGGATATATTCCTGGTTTGCATCCCATTCCAATCTACACCTCTTAAGAAAAATACAAATACCAGGTGTGAAGGAACTGCATAATATCAAATTTTCCGTGTTGACTGTGCCATCTTTTCCTTTTTGCCAGATATAAAAAACATAGGGAGAAAAAAAACCCAAACCAAAACATTCAAAAAGAAAAAATTGGGCCTGCTTAGTATATCACAACTTAATTTCATTTAATCCTCTAAAAAAACTCACTAAATGTTCTTTTGAATGATTTTAAATTGACCATTACATTCTAAAAGCAAAAAGGCTTCTGTTCAACATTTTTCCCATATAGTAGGCAAAAAATTTGCTCTGACAACAGCTTAAGCTTAGTTTGCTAATTTCTAAAATGTATTAGTAATGACGTTTATGGCATTGCTTAGTATAGAAATACATATATACTTATTTATATATGTGTTTGTGTGTGAATTCCTGTTAACAGCTGACAGTTTGTACTTATTTTTATTTTGAAGAATAAAGCCCCTGAAGATTCTGTGACTAAAAGCTAGAGTGAACTAAGCCAGCTGTATGTTTAACCGAGCAAATTCATAAAGAACCAGCAGCAGTAACCTGAAGGCAGAGTGGGTCAGTATGTGTGTAGCTGTCAGGGTTATGGCACAGCACAGAAACCACAAGTTCAGGTTTTCTCAGCACTTCTATAAAAACTTGATATTACAAACATTTTCCCAGAAGTAAATTCCATTCTCTATCACTGTTTTAAATTTTACTCAAGATCTGCTCTGCCCCTCTGTCCACAGCCCTACCTCTAGGAGAGCACCAATAAATAAATAAATCCAGGATCTAACCTACTGTGATCCTTTTTTCCAAGTGCCTTCTGTTGTTGCCATTCATAAGGAGCTAAGCATCCACAGAAAAATAAATATACAGGAAACAAGCCCTCCCTGTCTCTCCCATCTAATCTTACTGAAGATGGTTATTCAAGTTTGTTTGCTGAGCCTGGACAACATCAAACATCGCTTTATTGAACTGCTACACAGAAAAGATTGAGAAGGGGAGAGGACATGGTAAATGCAATCATGCCCTTGATCTAAATACTTAAGGCAGATGAAAAACCATGAAAGAAACAGACAAGAAATATGGAAAATGTTTACTCCATTATTCCAGTTCTTGCTGCATGCCAGGAGAGAAGGAGAAAGAAAAGAAATGTTAGAAACAGAACAGGGAATAAGGATTAAAAGACCATGTACAAGCAACTAGCAAATATCCAAGTTAATGTAGACAGTTATTTTAATCCAACTTTTTAGCAACAGAATAAGCATTTAAAGGTAAGTATTAAGAACACAAAGTCTAAAATACAAATTAACTGATTCTGACTATCAAGAACTTGAAAACTCATGTTGTTTATCTCCCATATGTTAGGCACATCCACATGAGAAAGCAGGCTAAATGTCCACACAGTGCCTGTAGCTATGACAGATTGCTATTATGAACAACATAAGGAAAAACCAAACAGCAGTGGTATGAAAATTCATGCAGTTTTTTTAATTGCTGATACAACCAAGCAATTCAAGGTCTATTGCTTAGTTGCTTAGTCTGTAAACAACCTTAGCTTTGTTATAAAGACAAAAATCTGGATCTATCAAAATGGGGGGTTCTCACATATTTAAATCTTAATCCTTATAATTTTTAATCCTACTACCTCCTTCCAGAGTATGAGAAGTGAATGTAAAATGGAGAAAACAGAACAGCAATGCTGCAGTTTCCATTTTGCATTCAGCTTACTCCAAGCACTGTGCCTTCCCTGCCATCCTATTATGAAATAGGCTGGGGCAAAATTTTACTTCAGATAATGACTGCTACAGATTGATTGCACTTAATCCTTTATGGAACCCTAAAATTCTCTAAAGAGAATTTTAACTGTGTTTACAAGGCAGAACATACCTCAAATAAATCATAGCCCTCAGCTTCCACCCTGTTGTAGGGCCGGATGATGCCATCCTCTCGGATGAGGCGTGGGGGACGCAGGTTTGACACTTCCTCAGTTGATTCTGCCACCCTGCCACAGACAGTGCAACAGCATTCTGGTAAGCTTAATACAAGCCTGAGTTTCACCAGTACATCTTTAGAAGCCAGCCTTTCACTTGCCACACATCCCACTTACACATCCTGGGTACTCTGCAGATGGAAATAGTAAAGACACACTGCTAATAATAAATCAGAAGTAGCACTAGTCAATTAAACAGCTACAGAATAAGCTGGAGAAGTTGATTCCCAAATGCAGATAACTTACTAAGGGTTCTCAAGTTTATTAACACACTATCCAAAGGTCCCATTAAAACATAAGAAGGCTCTGATGGGCACTGCTAACCAAATTTCAGACTGGGAAGTTTTACTCTGGAAATTTCAGTGGGCTGTTTTTCACAGTAAATTTAACAGACATTTCTCCTCAGTGGAAGGAGAAAAATGAAAAAATGGATTAGTTACTGTCTGCCTGAACTACCACAGTGATTAGTTACTGTCTGCCTGAGCTACCATAGAGCAGCACATTCTCTGAAGCAGCAATTTCTTCGTCATCACAAAATACATTTGTTACAGACTACTGGACATTCCTCAACCTCTCATATCATCCTGATTTTTGTATTTAGCAAATAGCTGTGTGGCAATACTAGAGCACTTCACCACCTGCTATCCAGCACAGGGTGAGTACTTCCCAACTTCCCCTTGCAGTGTACCTTTGGATTCCCTGGAATGTGCTGCTTGCCATATCCACAATGCCTCCCGTCGGCCGGGCTACCACTCCTACCAGCCCCTTCCCAATGCCTTTAAAGAATCCAGCTGCACCTTCTTTTTTAGCTCCTTGAAAAGAACAGAAACAGAAAAATAAATGTTGTCATGACCTATTTAATCACAGAATTAAACCATTATTGCTACAGGGGAGCTGGTTTGTGCTGGAAACAGCCCACAGCCAGTGATTGCAGAGTCCTACTGTACAAAGAGCTGTCTGTGGAAAGTCACCCACTGCTTCATGCTCTGCTCAGACACATCTCTGTCCACTTAACACCTCACCAGCCTCTGAAGGGCCCAGAACTGAGATGTTATCAAGATTCTCCTTCTCACACTTTCCACCTGGACTATAGGCCAATAGACGAGTTTTTTATAGGTTGACAGTAATAACAAAATGTTCTGAAGACACTAAGATGCAGAAGTGTGACAGAAGTTAACTATTTGTATCTCAAAATTACATAGTTCTGGTGATATATAACTGTGGGAGAACCAAAGGGGTGTTCAGAAAGCAAGGGAGATCACTCATCCAAGAGACAAAGACTACATGTCTAAGTACCACACCAAAGCTGTGAAACACCACACAGCTACAGCTGACTCCCAACATTTAAATCACTGCCACATGAAGGTTAATAAGAGGCATTTTATCCCAGATATTTTTCATCATCCATCATTTTCATGAAGTAACAGGAACAAATACTGACTTCAGGCACACAACTAAATTTGTTTTTTAAGATTTGTGACCTTTAGAGCCCCAAAAACTTTTTCAGCTGGTGATTTTTACTTTGTTATTTTTACTATCTTTATTCTGGCTTCAGACAATGAATTGGGTACTACATCAGGCCTAACAAAATACATCACAGAGATAACCTATTCTTAACCATACAAATGTTTAAAAGGTGGTAAAGCCAACAACAGATATAAAGACATTTGAGGAAATCATCGTGTAAATTCACATTAGAATAAAAAAAATAAAAATTTTACTATGCTTCAGCATAACCATACTTGGTTTGCTATTTCTTAACATTACAAAATAAATTGTCAAGTATTGAGAAACCACTTAAGCAGTGCAATGCAGCCTTTGTGCTTACCTTCTACTGGTTTAGTGATGATGCCTGTCACACCTCCAACAACACCCTACAACAAAGATAATTAAGTTCCCAATGAGAAACTGAAATGCTGTCAGTCCAGCTGGGCAATCTGTTGTCTCAAATCTTCATTTTAATAGTTTATAATGTAAAGTTCAGTATCAGAAACAGTATTTGTCTAGAGACTCTGGCTTTGTTTTTTCTCTTAATATTTTTAAGAAAACTATAACTGAGGCAAAGACCTGAAGGACAGAATTCACTGCAAGGTCAGGTAAGGGCCTGGTGCCCCACATGTCACAGCTGAGATGGCCACGATGCACAGAGTATTACCATACAACTTCAGAAAGCTTCACCCCAAACACAGAGTAACACCTCCCCACTTCAGAAAGCTGCAAACATCTGCCCTTCTTGTTCTCCAGCCCAGCCTTTCACACCCCTGATGTTGCTGCACTGCCCTGTGTGCCCTCTGCTCCCTTTGGTGGTTGCTCAGTGCCCTGGGCACTCCCTGGCTCATTGCTGCCAGTGCTGCCCACAGCTGTGCCCATCCCCACTTACCACAAACTCTGTGCCTACAAGGGCCCAGTTACCTTAATTACCTAACACATTTGTTGAATATGAGTAATCATTTATTTATACAATACACAGCAGAATTTGGTGTGATTTCCCATTCAAATCCTAACTCCAGTTCCTCAGGTGACCAGAAACATGACCTCAAACACTACACTGAGTCTCCTATAAACCCACTGCCTGTCTCTTCTGCTTAGTTAATTAACTGACAAAAAACATCTCAAACTCCCTGCAGGTGATTTCCAAGCAAGCTGGCACATGAAACACTCATCCCCAGACCATACCCTTAACAGGCCTTTCCCTCCTTTGGCCAGGCTCTCCCCAAAGTCCTTGGGCTGCCGTCCCATCTCCTCTCTCCTTTTCTGCTGAAATTCCTCATCCAGAGTGATGGCAGCCAAGCCCTTGCCAACAGTGCCAGTGATCCTGGACACCATCCCTGCTGCCCCACCTGAGGGAACACAAAGCAGGAGTTACTGTGCTTTCACAGCTTAACAGCAAACAGCACACAGCCAGCAAGTTTATAGCAATTTCCCTTCCTATTGAGTTTAGATATGGTGAATTCACACAGAGCCATGCTATCCATGAGAAGATTCCAGAATGTGGTCTGATATCCATACATACAGCAACAGAGAACATTTATACAGAGAATATTTACTACGTTACATAGCATAATGGATGAAACAATGTTTTCTCTAATTACTGTCAAGACACAGCTAAATAAAAATCTAAAGTAATTGTAACAGAACACTTCTCAGGCTTCCCCAGACATTTTGGAACCATTAAAATTATGCCTTTTATTTATCCAGAGCACTAACTTAGTTATATATGCAATGTGATGCAATGCAATGTTATGCAATGTTTCTCACACTGGTTGCTCAGTCTACAAACAGATATTCAGATGGTCTCAGGTAAATTATGTGTGAATGATCTGTATCACAAACACTGGCAATAGTATGACAACCTTAAATACTCATTAGAAAAATAATGTGGGAATTCACCAAAAAAGAACACTATGAACATACCCACTGTGTGCCCAAGAAGACTTCTAACACCAATTACAAAGCCTTCAGCAAATTCTTCAGGTCCTTGAACAGCCCCCTAAAAATGAAACTTATTAGGAATAGCAGAAAATCACACAATGATGCATCTGCTTCAAGAAAAACTAGCAATCCCTTTACATTGATGCAAGTAAGGCCATCTGAATAGGTTATTCCTTTGAGATCCACATTAAAAAATTACTGCTGCCTGCCTGTTCAGAGTGTGGAGTACAGGGACAATAAACTATAACCCTACCAGTACATTCAAACAGCCCTTTCTAAAGGCACAGTTGAAGAATCAGGAACTCCCACCTGGAATGGCTCATAGAAGAAAGCTTCAACTCCCTCAGACAGCCCTCTGATCAAACCAAATGGATTTCCAAGAACATCTAATCCAAGTACAAGAACATACATCTGTTTCAGGAACTAAATGATGAGAGGGAAGAAAAAAGGCAAACAACAAAAGCAGTGTTAAGAACTGTTGTTACACATGCCAGAACACCAGCCTGGTTCATTTTTTAATTTACTACCCAAGTAAGGTATCAGAGTGCCCAAATATGTATTTGGTGAAGAAAAATAAAATCTTCTTTAAGACACACACTCAAAATTGTACACAAAGACTTGACTAAACAAGCTTACTTGTTCACTGTAATGCCTAATAACTCTCATCCTCAGTTGGTCTCTCTTGTAGAACTGGTATTTAATTTCAAAGAAAGCAAGTCTGAAAGACAAGTAATGATACAGAAGTTAAGGACACCCTTCCTCATTCAAATACTTCTCTGCTTTCCTTCAGAGAATCCTGAAGACTTGCCTTAAAAAGGATCCCAAACCCCATCTTATCTCCATTCCTCCTTTTCCCTAAGGCTGTATAAATTTACACTAGTCAGTCAGCAGGGTTAACCATGGGTCCAATTATTAAGTGTACAGCAGTCAAAGTATTAAACAAAAACCCCAAACAAACAACTCCAACCGACTGAATTCACTTACTTGAAAACAACATCATCCACATCTGTGAGAGTAGCTCCAATACTTTTCAACAGCAAATTCAGAGAATGGATGGCTATCATTTCTTCCCCCTTATCTGATGCTTCTCCACCAGCAGCCAGGGACAAACTCAAATGCAACTGTCAAGGCAGAATCAGTAAAAGAAGACAAATCAAGACGACAGAAAAGCCAAACCAGAGCAAGTCAGGTGGTGCACATGTAAACAAATCAGTGATGAAAACTGAGGAAAGCCATCATTTAATCTAGTGATGATTTTTCTTCCCTTGCTGCAAAACAATATAACTGCTTCAAGAGACACATTAAGATAATCCAAATAAATTGTATTTAAATACAATTTATGATACATTATCCAATATTTTATCTGGCTTTCAGCATTATTATACCCATTGATTCTCCCCACTTAGTTATAGTTAAAGGTCTGTTTGTACTCATGGGCAACAGAGAAAGTTTTCCAACAAAGTATTAAATTCTAGAGAATGTAAAATCCCCACTAGGGATTTACTGTAATGAATTAATTGGATGATTTATTAACCAATAATCTCTCTACTGCATACCTTAATTGGAGAAATATGGAAATGTTCAAAGAAGCTGAGCATTGACACATCTGTTAGGGAAGACTCCATCAGCTCAGTGTTAAGTGCATCCAAATCTTGCTGAATTAATTTAGACTGGTTTCAATATTCAAAAGAAAAAAAGGAAGTTAATCACATCCATATATGTAATACAATTAATCATATTATATCTAAATGTGTTTTCATATATATATAAATAAACAGTAGAAAAAATAGTAATAGTTAAATAGTTAACTACTTAAATATGAATGTACTAATGAATCCAGAAAAAAAACCCCAAACAACCCATAACAAACACAAAATTTCTGGGTGATTTTCCCATTTTTTATTATATTGATTTTCACCTAAATTCCTCAATCACTTAAGGTCCCATTCCAGCAAAAATCTGTTTCTCTCATACATTACCCTTTGTCTTTCAGCTTCTGGGTCTGTAGATGGAGTGAAAAGTTCACTAAGTGCTCCTAAAAATCCTTGATCGATTTTCAGTGCCATTTCCTGGATAAGAACCATGAAGTACCTAGAATGGGAAAGAAAGTGTATACCTGTATAAATTTAACTCAGATATTACATGCTTAGCCTATACAGGTTAAGTCTTGCTGTGTAAGGTCACACATATTAAGATTTACCCATATATCACATATTAAGATTTACAATTCAAAATATCAACTCTCAATTTATAGTTAGAAGTGCCTACTGGCCAGCACTGCACAGCAAACAGACACATAACTCTATACTGTAGTACAAGAAGGAAATAATTCTGATTACTAAAGAATTTGCATAACAGTCCCTTCATGTGGTCAGTCATTATTTTCTAAAATTAAGTTCGTTTTTTTAATTTTTTTTCAATTGGAGACATTTAAAAACTCAATCTGAAGTCAAAAGTGGTTTAGATAGGAGAACAAACTTAAGAACAAAGTTCCCTTCTAAAATATATCACATCTCTAAAATGAAATTACAATTCACTGTTACACTCACTTGAATTGCAGGACTTGGCTGTATTCATTGAATCTAGTGATGATGCTGATGTCAATGAAGGGCTTTGGTTCTAAAGAGAAAAAAACACTCAAAAATCAATTGCCAAGCTCCTACTTTCAAGGCTGAATAAATCTGATATTACTACAGGCTTTCTCTCACCTGAATCCAAAGCAATGGACTTGGGAGGGGCCACAGGGTGAAATACAACAGGAAACATCGACCCTGGTAATTGATTATCAACCTAAAAAATTAATGCATAATTACAGGAATATTTTAGTGACATGAGAATCAGACAGTTCTCATTTCAGAAGGCTTGAGTAACTTGTTTATAAATTGTGTTCAAGAGGAAAGCCCTACTTATTAGGGTGGAAGGAGGAAAGAGCAAAAGGATTACTCTGATACCATTGTGGACTGTTCCTCATTCAGTTATAAAAGTTCAGATGGTTCCAAGTGCTGCACAAGGGATGCTTAGAGAGGTTCACACCCACAAAGACTCCCTTGCAAGGTCTGCAGCTGATGGCAAACACTGACTGAATAGTGAAAACCACCTTCAGGCAAAAGTAAAAACAAAATGAAAGATCAAAGGAAAGAGCAAACTTCCCCACAAGCTGGTCTGAAAAAGCACCAGGGCCCTCAGAGAAGGGCAGCAAATGGAGATGAAGATGGCAATGATGATCACTCAACATCATCTCCCTCAGCACTGAACACTTCTTGCCAGTACCTGCTGAAGTGCTCTACTGGCAAATTTAGCAACACTGTCAGTACTGACAGGACTATGCTGACCTGCTGCAAGTGTTGCACATTAATTCAGTGTTAATATTACATGTAGATACATTACTGCACACTATTTAGCATGTTTAAATGCCTGTTCTCTACTTCCCATTAGACAGGCAGTTTTTGTACTACGGTCCCTAAACTCTTAGATATACTCTGTAGAATAATGTTACACTTCTGTGTAAAAACTACAGTAAAATTTTGAAAAAGGTTGAGGTTTTAGAACACCAAAACACAGCTCTTTAGAAATAAACTCTCCACCATAGCACCCTGCTTTACATTAGCACACAGTTTTGTGGAATTCTTTCCACACTGCTTCAAAATCCTGGGATGACAATTCTGCAATACTTTTCCATCACAGCACCCCTGCTACCCTGATGTAGAGAGACAGGCACCACATGCATTTGGAGATACTTCTTTGTGGCATTCACATTCTCTGAAAAAATTCCTTCACCCAGGGTTTTTCTCCTGGGAAGCTGAAAGGCAGCGAGAGGCCTCAGAGAAAAGTAGAAGAATTCTGATCTCATTGGCTTCTCCTGTGTTGTGCTCATGTGGAATGTGTTTGGAGATTGTTTACCCACAGGTGATTGTTCCATTGGATTCTGCTGTGAGCTGTTTTCACTCATGGGCCAGTTGGGGCAAAGCTCTGTCGGGGTCTTGAAAGTCACAAGTTTTCATTATTATCTTTTTAGCCTTCAGTAAGTATCCTTTCTGTATTTTTTAGTATAGTATTCTTTAATATAATATAATAGTATAATATAGTATAAAATAGTATAATATAGTATAATAAAGTAATAAATTAGCCTTCTGAGAACAGGGAGTCAGATGCATCATTCCCTGCCTTGGTTGGGGCATCCCTGATTTTTCAATACATCTTCACATAAATGAATGAAATCAATGCCTTCATGTGTCTGTCTAGTTTTGAAACCAGAGGAAGGTTTAAATATTAAACTGCAGGTACCTGCAGCCAGTAGAGCTGAGCCCGTAGGCTCCTTTGGTGAGGTGACTGCTTGAATTCAACCTGAATTCCTGACAGGAAGTTCCGGCGGATGCTGCATCTGACGGGCAGACGCATTTCCATTGGGGACTTGCTAAAATTCACCTGCAAGTACAAGGAAACACAGCCAAGATACAGTTTAATTTGGGAAACAATAAAATGGTGCATTACTAGTTGACAGACTAGCAAATAAACCCTGTGATTTTCCTCATTATCAGATCACAGGCTGCTGAATTTCTCCATCTAATTAACTGCATGGAAAGCAATGAAAACCACCAGTTAGTCTGACAAGGACATTACATGGCAGCTTTAGTTGTCCCAAGCAGGAACCTCTGTGTCATCTAAGTAGCTATTTCTTCATGAGTTATATATTACACAGGCATAATTAAAGATATTTATATGAGCTGATTTACTTTCCCAACTGACATTTCCCCCCTGATCCTACAACTTTTAAGTTATGAGAAGCAGAAGCACAAAGCTCTCCTTTATTGAGAGTGAAATGCAATGACCTACAGATAAAAGATTTGATACCATGTATTGTAAATGCACTACTGCAATGGTCAAAATTCAAGTTTTCAAAGAGCTGAGGGTATATACAAGTTTTTCAAATGAAAGGATGATATAGGAAACAAGCCTGACTATGGCACTTTAAAATGGTTGTACTGGACTTAGCCATTTGAATACACTGTTTATGCATGGAATACAGGGATGTATAATTCATGTCTGAACAAGCTCAGGTAAGTGGATTCATTTCCAGAGCCCTTGAACACTGCAGACTCCTTTACCATATCAAGTAATGGGAACTGCACCTTATTAAAAAGCTAAAACCAAAATTTTTGCAAAGAATTTAGGGTATATACTGCAAATATAGGTTCACAACTAATGTGCAGACACTGAGCAATCTTTTCTACCACACAAAAGAAAAATCCTTTAAAATTCTTACTTCATAATACAAGCCTGGATAATACTGAGGTATTATCAGTGCCTCAGTATCACAAGACAAAAACATTCTACTTTGTAATATGTGTAACTACTTAAATAAAAATCCTGCCTCTTATTTCTGTTTCTCTTCACACAGCATCTATCCCAACTTAGCAAACCAGAAATCTGTTTTAACTGTTGCACTTGTTCTGCAAGCATTTAAACACTAAAACTCAACACCTACCTCAGTATTGCTGTCCAGTTTATGCCAACCAGGACCTTGGAAAGCAGTCCTGGAGAGATACTTTTGATATGCTTGTTCCAATAGGTTTATTTGTTTTTGATTAAATGGTTTCCACTTTTGCCTTGGTTTCCGTTCCCAAACAACATCAGAACTGCAAGACAAATAAATAACAAAGTTAACAATTTTAGAGTACTTATACTTTACTTATGCATGCAAACCATGTAAAACATAATTTTCTAATTTCTCAGGCTCAAAAAACTCTATTATGTCTTTTTTAATGCAAGCTAAAAAAGGGGGGCAGTTAAATCCTGTTGGATCTAATTCCACTATAGAAGTAGATGCAAAATTTAATTTTAATTAAAAGTGTTTCACTTAATTTAACTTGAAACATATCCCCTTCAACTCCATTGCTAAAATTATAATACACTGCCAAACTCTGATTATTCAAAGCAATATTTACACTTCCATGGGCAGTACCTAGTAATTCCTATGTAAGAGATTTCTTTTTTATTTTCATTGTTAACTAGAGAAAGTCCAAGACTATGGATTGACAAGTTTATTTCTTGGTCAGGTTGCTCCAGCTCCTCTGCTTGTCGTGCTTTGGACACCAGAGCCACATCATCTGTGAAAAGCAGCACTCGCTGTCGTCCATCCAGGAAAGACACCCAGTGAATCTGAGTGTTTGCATTGTAGGGGAACTGGCCACAGTCATCCTGTATCAGGGGGAAAAAAAAGCATATTACATGAGTAAACCCCTGCTGTTGTCTGTAAACTTGCTTATAAACATAGAGCAAACACAAACCAGAACTCAGTATTTTTCCTGTTTGTTCAGTTTACTGCGCTGTCCTGACTTGGTTGCACCTTGTACCCTAAAACTGGAAAGAAGTTGAGGTTGGGATATTTTTTTCCCACTTTTGCAAACTAAACATTCCAGCAATATCTGTGGTTTAGAATAATATTGGAAATCATTAGGGAACAAAAGCCTTCAGAACAAAGCAAAAGGCTTCAAATCTCAGTAATGGCAGAAGAAGGCAATAAATCATATACCATGAAACAGTAAATTACTATGATCTCTGCTTTTCAAAGGCACATACTCCTTATTTTTAATTTGTAAGGCAAAACTGAGATCATTAAAGCCTTTTACGCAAAAGCCCCAAAGAATCATCAATGTAACCATATTTATATGGTAAGGAAATGGGTTTTAAACTAAAACCATTTTTTGATGTGAAAAATTTGACCCAAGGAAGTGCTAATACAGTAAAGCACACTATAACTGGTTCTGTCTGAGTTCAGGTGTGTGAAATTAAACCCATTTCCAGTACAACTGAAACTCAAATTTGCTTTCCTATCCCTTCTTTTAGCTAGCAAAACTTTTCAGTTTTGTCAACTCTGTGTTACTCAACAGAAAAACCAAGGCAGAATTTACTGTAGTGTAAGGTGCAAGTGGGCAGCTAAATAAAGACAGACACAGTGGACTATCAAAACATCTAAAGTCTTGTTTCTTGATGGTGCCTATAAGTCTCCTACAGACTGAGACAAAGTTACTGAGGAAGCTTTTTCTCACACAGTTTTAATTCTGGAATAGTCCTAAATTGGTTCAGCATTTCCTTCTCCCCTCAGAAAATTTACCTTAAGTAGGTCATGTTCACCAAAACATTGAGAGTAGCCCCAAGTCAGTTTTCTTGGTTTGGTTGGATCTGTCCAGGCAAAGAGGCATACTTGCCTTGGTTTCAACTCCATTTCCTCCTGTAATCCACTGCAGGTTAAAAGAAAAGGAGAAAATAATCCCAGTACTAACAACTTCACCCCTCCAGCTGCAGGTTCATCAGCTCTTGGAGATACCCATGTGAAATCCTGGTGATGTCTAACCAGGATACCCCTGGTTAAACAAGCAATGGTGAATTGTTCCTTTCCCATACCTCTGTTTATATCTGAGGGAGTCCCACGGAGTGTGGTTCACAATCAGAGCTGGGGCAGCTCCCTCGTGGTAATCTGTGAAGCTGATCACAGTAGAATGCTCTGAGACATTCACATCTACCAGCAAGCCCCCATTCTGGAGAGGAAGTTAGACAAAGCCCAGCATTAATTCAGGTTAGAATGATGACAAACATTATATCCAAAGACTTTAATGAACATGGCTCCTTTATAAACACATTGCCTAATGCTAGGCTAAAGTATCAAATTAATTTAACCATGAACTGTGTCTCCAACATGTTATAGCTGATCAAGAAATCCTAAAACAGAATCTATTTTTTGTTACCTACTTAAACAAACTGAAGGCACCCAAGACATATCCTCTGCAAAAAGCCCAGATGTCAGAGGTGCAATATACCATTGTAATTTAATAGCAATAGAGCTGTTCAGTTTCCTATAAGCTTGTCACAAGCAAATCAACTTGACTACACAGCTATGAAAACATGAACAACACTGCAAACTTGATTCCTAACTTTTTTAATGCAACAGAACTGAATGAAGAGCAGTGTACCCATAACTTAAGGCACAAGGTTTTGATGTTGATGATTTTATTGACTCAAGCTACCATAGAGCTAAAATGGAGAGTTAACAACAGACTACACAAAGTCAGTCTCACCAATTCTTCCAGTTTCAGCAGAGTACCATTATCCTGGGCTTTAAACAGGAATGGTTTGGATGAGCTTTCATAGCCAACTACTCTTACACAAAGTTCACCAGATGAGTTTTCAGGCCAAAATGGAAGACACTGTAAGACAAGGAATACACATGACTTTAACATTTCATATATGCTCAATATGGTAACCCAGCAGTAAAACAAACAGGGTTGTGTGAGTGAGACTATTTCACATGCCTTAGTTCTTAGCCAAGTATCTCCTGATGAACACATCCACATCTAAACTGAAGGACTTGATTAATGTACCAGCACACACAACCTGAACTGTTCAAGTTCCCTTGGGATGTGAAATATCCATGTCATGCCACCAGAAGAGACAGCTTCTGTAAGGGAACTCCTCTGCCCTCAAGTGACACCTTAACACCAGGCATTTGTCTACAGTGATATCAAAAAGAAAAAACATGAAGCATTACCTCTGAAGCCGAGATATAACTCCATTTATTAGTTGGAAGAGAACCATCAGGACCAATTTCTCCAACTTCAAGCTCCAGAGAAGATTTGTTTGCTATTGTGTAGAATGGAGTGAAGGTAACTATCCTGGTAAGGTTGAAACTGCTCATTGTGATGCTGACTCCAACCTGTTGAACAAGGAGAATTTGAGCAAATAATCAACAAGAAGCTAAGGAGAAAAGTCAGGATAGAAAAGCCAACAGCAGTGTAATTACAAAGTCTAACACACAACACTCCTGTTCCTTCCACCTGAAGTAAAAGCACCAACCATGCAGTAAAATCAGCAGATTATGCAACACAACTAACACAAGTGTAACCTGACAGGGTTAGCAGTAGCATTTGCAGCTGTAGCTTTTGTGGGGAAAATCCAGCAGAAATCCCTCTAGAGTAAGTCCTGACAACTTAAAATGACCATTATCATCAGAACACAGTTAAAGAGTACATGAAAACACAACTCCCCACATCTCTTTACTCTGCTTAGTTGTGAAAATGCAGTCTTGGATAAGGAGTGCAGATCCAAACACTTGCTAACAATTGTGAACAATTATCTCCACCATGCACACTCATCATTCAAACACAGAGTACTGCATCTTTGTAAACAGTCAAGCCAAAAGAACACAGAGAGCTTCACAAACCACTGCAACAGATCTTACCAGGTAGTCCATGTTATTAGCTGGACACCTGACACATCCATAGCTTCCCACAGTATCAAGGGAAAAGCTGTTGGACCAAGTGCTGGTTGAAATACAGAGCTGGATCTACACACAAAAAACAACAACATGCAAAGTCATTCAGTAAACTCATTTTCATTCTGTGGTTCATGCATTATGGACTGCAGTTATATCACACAGAGCAATGTAAAGACAACACTTCAGTGCTTTTAGCACCTCCCATAAATTAGGATAACCTAATAATGTAGTATCACTATTCATATTGTGATTTATTAATCTGTGATTGAGTTCTGGGAAAGATGCTACAGTAGGAGGTGTCAAAGCAGAGTAGTTCTCATTGACTCATGCTCATGACAGCACACATGGATGGGGAAAAAAAGCCCATCACTTTGTGGTGCTTCACAGACTTGAAGAGATGGAAGGAAATAATCAAATGAATAGTTTTTCAACCATTGTTAGGTAAAAAAAGTTATTTAAAAAATTCTAAATTCAAAAAAAAATTCGATATTTTTTCCAAAATCCAAAAGTATTTAAAAAAACTTCTTCTGCAGTGTTATTCACTTGACCATGTAAACGTCACACTAAAATCAAAACAAAAGGAATGTATGTAACACAAAATAGAGTATTTGCAGTGTGCATTTTAAATGTCCAAGTACCAAAGAAAGCAGCAGTCAAATTAAAAACTTTAGACTTAAAAACTACATTAAAATATCCCTTTTATAACAAGTGTGTGTGTTTTCTCCCTCAGAACATGGCCTAAAGATTGCCACCAAAATTAATCATACCTTGTTCTTACTAAAAATATTTTTCTTTTTAAATGAGAACAAAACAATATCTCTGTAGTCTGCTGGATGCTTCACATGAGTGTCTTCAGCTCGGTACTGCAGGACTCGGGAGGTCTTGTTGATAATCCAGTAGGGGCTGAACACAGCCAGGACCATGTGGCCGCCGACCCGCCTGGCATGGATGTAAACATCCACAGCCAGCTCTGGGGCACTGTGGGACACGAAACGCACAGGGAAAAATTCACACATCCCATCACAGATTTTGAGATGGCCATGCCAGTCTTTGCCTTGGTATTTTAACAACACAAGCTCCATTATTTCTCCACTGATTCTTGAGTGAAAAACATCTGCAGCACTGCCTTCAGTTAATTCACGGTCTTCTGCGGTTCCCTGTAGCAAAATTAGATAAGGTAAATTAAGTTTTCAACACAAAAATTAGATTTTATATGCTGGTTCAAGAACCAGTGTTTTATTCTCTTGTAAGATGTACATTTCAGATACCTCAGTAACCCATGTCTTAATCTCCAATCACTCTCACTTGAGATTGATCCTGTGAATAATTTGAGAACAACACTTTACTTGCAGAGCAGTACAGAGTGCTTAATTCTGGATCTCAGGGAGGCAAACTTGCTCTAACATATTCCCTGTTTCCACCCCCTCCCTCTCTCCTCCATGATTTCCAAAGGATTTTGGCAGTGATCTCTTATTCATAATTTTGCAATACTGGGTGTAACACTGCACTGGACTATGCTGCAGATACACAGCCAGGATTTTTCACACTGAAGAACCCCCAAGGCACAGACCTGCCAGTTCTGCCATGCTATCTGGTAGCACAGCTTGGCTCAGGCAGTGGCATCCAACAACAACAGCTTTCCTAATTTTTACTGATAAAACATTTTTACTGATAAACACTATATTTAACTGTATGGAATAGTAGCCAGGCTTGATTAGCCCATGGATGTGAAGACAATAAATACAAACCCCTGTACAGGTACTGTGACTTCAGAAATAGATATGAATCACTGGTTTCTAGCTCCTCAGTCAAGGAAACACCACTCTGTTCTACATTCTGTTACTCCCAGTACTGAAGTACAATGGAGGTGAGGAAAACTGGGAATAGTGCCAATGGGATGTTGGAAAGAGTGAAAGGAAGATCTCAATGAATGTCACAGCCAGTTATGCAAGCAGGAAAAAACAGAACAAACAAAGATGGTGGTTCTAAATGCTCACACCTCTTGTATTTACTAAAATCACTCAGATTAATGAAGAAATACTAGATACTGAAAATACTGAACAGACAGGAGGAAACCTGTCTGTGTAGCATTCTTCAAGGATTCTTCCCATTTGTGCAAAACCTCACAATAGTCACCAGTAAAGAATCAGTGTCAGAATGGAGAGAATTTTCATTTTCTACATAGAAAATAAAGGCTCTAGAAATTATAGATGCTTTATCTTATACCTCTTCTTGTGAAGCTAAAGACAGCTTGCAAAACACAAATAGAATCTCAGAAGTATGGTAAAAGAAAAAGACTAATCCAGTACAGGATTCCTGATAAAGGAGCAAGGCAGAGCTGGTCAGGTACACACAAATTTTTAAAAAAATCTCCAAAACATCCAGAATGATACATCAGCCTCATTCATTTACAACAGAAAACACAAAACCCAACATTCAGCATCTTCCACACTGCATTCACCTTCACTTCTAAGTAAATGCATTCTTACTCAAAACCAAGGAAGGGATTTACAAATAAAACCATGAAGTAACTTACCTCAAGTAAAAATCTCAAGGTGTATGGCAGGAGATTCCTCACAGTCAGTGTAGGGCAAAGGTGGATAATGTAGGCAGGATCCAACTCCTCTACAGAACTTGAAATAAAACTCAGTTCATCAGGTACAGCTGCTGAGCTGATTATTAGAGGCAGGAAATTGGTCTCAGTGGCTGGGCACTGCAACAAGCACTTGACTTCATCGCTCCTGTGTAGCTCTTCCCTCCAGGCAATGTAAGTTGTAGACTCCTTGTACTGACCCTCAAATATTCCTGTTGGTTGGACATACAGATGGCACCTGTAAGAAAACAGCAGGAATTGTACACAGTGGCTTTGCACTGACACCTAACTTCATCTATTTTAAAGTCATGGCTTTTGCAGCACACTAATTACCTAACAAAGGCAGCACTTTGGAGTTTTAGTCCAGTCAGGACGACTTTCACATGCAAATTAAGGTTTCAAAACTAAATGCTGTATTTGTGCATCAGTGTGACACAGACTGGCCCTACAGAACAGAGAAAATGTACCTGTATGAATGCAAAGGAACATGAAACTCTTCTTCTGGCTTGGATATGCCAATTGGCTTCAGCAACTTGGAGCCTTTAGCCAGCTGGTAGATCACAAATGGAATTGAGAAATGGTTCTTGATCTGGAATCAGAATGAGGAAGTTTTCATTATATTTCTATGGTACGAATTTCTACGGTACAAATTTCTAAAGGAAAAAGTATCAGTAACAACAAGGAAAAGCAACATTAGTAGATATAACCAAATTCCGCTAGAAAACAAACTTGAGTTGTCTGAATAAACAAGTGTATCAGAAAACTCTAAGTCCCAAGAAATGAAAAACATGCTTAAAATGTCACGTAGCATAAAAAGCATCCCCAATGCTGAAGATATTAGAAAGGAAAAACCAAAGGAAAACTCACATAACAAACAGAGCAAAACACTTAGTAAGTTGTCGCAGACATTTCTTCATAGAAATCCTTTCTTTGGGATTTCTCCTTCTTCTGGGAAGCAAAGGGCCCCAGAAGAAGAATGTAAACAATTGTTATCAGCTGTTGTGAAATGTAGCAGGTGTCCCTGTGATTGGCTCATCTTCCTTGTGTACCATTAAAACCCAATCACAGGAGCAGCTCACGGACAGATTCCCTGGGCAAAGAACTTTGTTATTCATTCCTGCTATTCTATTCTTGGCATAGCTGCTCTCTGCAACCTCGCTTCTTTTTCCTTTTAGTATAGTTATAATGTATTATATATCCTATATCAATAAATCAGCCTTCTGATCAAGAAACAAGATTCTCGTCCTTCTCTCACCACAGTGACCGTCTAAGGTTGCTGTAATAGTAAGTGGCTTTTAAGCAACACTTTGGAAAAGTACGATGTTGAGGAAAGGAAGCAAAGGAAGGTGGCTGATGGAGAGCAGTGCTGCCAGGGCTGGTGCTGGGCTGGGTTTTACCTGCAGAGGGGAGCGCACAGTGATGACTTTATTCCCTTCCGTGGCGTCGATCTGCACCAGCACCGAGTCGTGTGCGGGGCGCTCGGCGCCGGCCCTGACGCTGTACAGGCGCCGGCCTGGCTTGGCCACGGGAATGCTCAGCGCCTCCTGGTATCCCTCCAGCTCTGATCCAGAAAAACACACAAAACACACTATTAGCAACACAAATCACACTACCATTTCCTATTTGAACAGTGCTACTCAAAACTCAGCAACAACCAGAACCAAAGTGTTGGAATTCAGGACATCCCTCTGGCTGTCCTGGATTGCCCAAACCCCTGCCAGGGGGCTCAGAGACCTTGGCACAGAGCCTAAGATGCCTCTGCCTTTGATTATGACCCATGGAAAAAATTACCAACCTTGCATGAGGATCTGCAAGCCACGACAGTCTAAACAGAATAATAATTAGTTTGTCACAGGGTGAAAAATAGATTTTTTGGGGTTTTTAGAATGGGGGTTCAGGGGGCAAGATGGAGGAATCTGGGCATGTCCAGCCTTTCTCCTTCTTGGCCTCCATCCTCTGCTGTGCTGTTGGCACTTTTGGATTGGTTTAGAGTAGAAGCTCACTGTCTAACACAGGTGATGGGTATTGGGAAGTTATAGTAAATAATGTACACGCAGTTTTTAGTATAAAAAGATAGCACCGCCCTGAGGGCAGCCAGAGTGCCTCTGTCTGACCTGCTGAACGAACCTCAGCAGGCCAGAGAAAGAATTTTATAGATAAGAAACAATCAACAACCTTGAGAAATTAGAATAGAAGAGTCCTGACCTCTTCTTCGGCTGCTGGGCTGGGAAAAGAGACTTTCTGACATATCTCAGGATCACTGTGAGCAGCACAAGTCTCAAGACCAAAGTATCCTTAAGGTGCAAAAGCACCTTAAATGGTACTGAAGTACCACTGAAGGAAAGCTTTGGGGTCCAAATACTCCTCAACTCCACAACTTTAGATTATGATTTATACACAGCATGGGGAATACTGCAAGCAGTTTTTAAAGGTATTGGTTGGCTGAGTTAAGGAACACAGAACACGCCTTGTATCACCTTCATATGGAATGTGATGGAAAGGGAAAAACTCAGATGATTACATATTAGTGGCTATTGTAACCTGTATTCTCAGGAATATTTCCTGGCAAAGCTAAAACCACAGCATCATAACTGGTCTCAAGTAGCTGGGTAACTACAGAAAGCCAAATAAAAGTAGTGATAGGAGAAAGGGAAATGCTGTTTAACAGGAGCTGGAACACACAGGCCTGTGTCACAGGGGCCTCTAAGATAGTTTATCAATGACTCCACTAGAATGGCTTCCAGTTCTCCCAAGGGGTAGAAAAAAATATCACTCTTTTCTCCTTCTGAAAAACTGGAGCAGAGGAATTTCCCATCTTTTTAGGAAGCCCAGTACATGTTTTGTGGTGTTCTTTAATTGGCATCAATATTAACAGGTAATTCCAACACAACACACTTGACCTGAATTTCTACCACATTGAATTAAACAGCATTCCTCAGCATAATACCTAAATTTAAAGAGAAGACAGAGCTTTCCTGTCGGTGCAGTGCAGACAACCTTCCTCGCTGGGGTGCTTCAAAAACAGAATATTCCAGTTCCATGCTCTGACCAGTTTCTATTTCATTCACATTTTCTTTTTCAACTGAACCCACTATCCGAAAATTGGAGCTAGGAATCACTTTGAGAGGAACACCCAGGGCATTCTTCACTATGATAGGTGCTGTCTCTTTAAAGGAATAGCCAAAGGTGGATGCAGTTGCTTCTGAAAATGCCTGTAAATAAAAACATGTACAATATGTCATACATAAATAGCCACAATAACACACCTATAAGGGCTTTAAAAGACAGTTCCTAGCAAATATCTTTTTAATGAGGGGAGGAATTAGATACAGCAGACCTATGTTTTGTACAGTAATATTTCAGGCAAGTACGGTTATTTCCAGAGAATCTAATTTCCTTCTGTGATTTGCTGCAAATGCTGATGCTACAATAACCCTTCATGCTCCTCACAGGGAGTCTTTCCAAATCTTAGGTTTGAGAGAAACATAAGATCTGGGACACAGAAGTCACAAGGAGATGGAACATGTACAAGCTCCAAATTCAATCACAACTTGCACTTACAAACTTACAAAACTTTGTTTGGTTACACAGAAGCCAGAGCAACTGACTGCCAATACAGACTGACAGTGTAAGTAAGTACTTACAAAACTGCTGTTCATTCAGAATTAAAAAATAAATAGTCATATGTCACATTCTGTAAAAACAGATTGATTTAGGACCAAAATTTCCCCACCCCAGAAAAAAAAAAGGAGGGAAAAGCATCCTTGACCATTCATAAGCACACCTACTACAGGGGTAAAAGGCATTTTTAACACATGGGACATTCTACTCCTGCAGTTTAATGGCCAATCCTAAAATGCACACTTTTCTTAGTATTCAATTAAACAGAAAACATGGAAAGGGAGTAAATTTTTGTTTTAATATTTCAGAAGGAGTATGGTAGGAAACAGCTGTGTTTATTAAAGCATTTCATGTTCAGTTAACCTGCACATGTGACACTTCTTAAGTCCTTCATGGGCATATTTGTTGGTCTAACACAGAAGCTACTTCTTTCAAAAGATAACCCCACCTTTGTGCTGAGCCTAAAGGAGCTGAGTAAAACTCCTCAGTCCTTCCAGGCAACTTTTGTCAGAGCTGCAGAGAAGTCATTTGACTGGGAGCCAATATAGCTCTTAAAACAAAGATAATTCAGAATTTCCTATGGAAGCACATAGCTGATTGTTATTACCTTGGCTAGGTTACTGAAAACAGCTAGACAACATTTGGATATTGTTATGTTCATTGTGTCCATTGAAGAGATGTTAATTGCTGTTTGTGGCTCAGGAATAACAATGAAATCATCCCCTGGCAGCAGACTTCTCTCCTGGACAGGGTTAGTCTTCATCTGAAAGAAAAATTCCATTAGACAATTACAAACCTAGAGGTTACTTTCTCCTATGTTAAAACAGGAAAAAAATACTTGACTTAGACTTGACAATTGTGCAAGCAAAGTAATATCTAGTTTGGCTTGTAAATCTCAGATGTTTTAAGCAAAGATGGAAATTTTATACCAACACAGGAGGCAAATTTGTTTCTCTTCTCTGCATGGTTACACAGTTCACTGCATCCATGCATTGATAATTCACATTACAGATAAACTTTAAGATCTCTAAAGAAAGATTTTTTAAAATTTTTTTCATGTAAAACTGCATAGCTTCTTCAAGCAACAGCATTCAGAAGGTCAATGCCCCATAAACTTTTAAAGAAATTTGAAAATAGCAGCCTGCACAAACCATTGCACATAATGTCAAGTATCTTTACACACCTCTAGCTTTAAATTCCATTGCTTCCTTCCTCCTTCAACTCGTTCAATAAGTGGCTCCCACACTGCATAGGTTTCATTGTAATAATGAACCTAAAGAAATAATCAAAATTCAATAAGGTATCTAAATACAAAGCAATTATTATGAAAAACATTAATAAAAAAACAACATATCTTCATTTCATGTTTTGGAGGTCTACTATTAAATTTCAATGGTTTTAAACACTAATACACAGAAATGTAACATATCATATTTCTCACAGAGTTTTTCAAGAGTTCATTTCCTGGCTTGCTTTGAGAGCAACCAAGCATCCTGGTAATGCCATATCTTTTTAACACTTTCAATTAACATAATCAAGTGTCTTATCTGCCCCCACAGGGTTTGAGAGAAAGACTCTGAGGCCAGGAACTTCACTGCCACAAGTACTTTTTAGTACTATGAAATAACAATTAGTTGGAGCCAACTATAGTAGGAATCTGGTCCATTGGAATGATTCCTCTAACTCATAGCCAACACCAAGGTTTTCATTTCTTCCATCTCTGCAGATCTGAACAGAAGCTGTGCACTCAGGAGTTGTGGATGCTCCCTTTCAGCTATTCTGCTTCTTCCTCCTGGAACCTGGAACTCCCCCAGGGATACACAACCAAGCATCCAAACTCCACCATGATTTGCACACAGGGCAATGGAAGAAAGATACTTGCATATCCAAAAACAGAATGAAAAATAAGGTAATTTGGTAAAATGACAAGGGGTAGTAAATGCATTGCATAGAGCAGCTGCACATCTGGCTGCATGAAATTCTAACATGCTGTCTCCATAAGAGGCTTTTACCATCTCAGAATGGAATCTCATTTTGCAAAAAGAGTGTAACTTCTACCTCAGAAATAAACACAATGCTGGAGAAACAAACAAAATGGGGGGGCAAGAAGAGTTAAGTGTGACTATTCAAGTAGGCCAAGCTCATTGTTCACACAGCAGAACTTCAATATGCAAAAATAATACAAAACCAGAGGACTAGATTATTTCACATTACAACTGCCTTTAAAATCCAACTTTCTGTACATCCAAATTACAAAGCACATTATGCTCACTTGCCTAACTAAAGAACTTCTGAGAGCATTTCAATTTAAAGCTATCATTAATTCAGCACATATGAAGTATATTAAAAAGTTATTTGAACTCAGGCACTGTGCAGAAGTGTTTTTAACTAGGAGTTTGACCCCACATACCTCCAGTGACATATCAGCAGTGACCTCCATCAGTGAGGACCAGTTTTTAAGGACACCTGAAAATGCAGATTCCACCAACAATAAAGGGACAGTCCGATGGCCCAGGCCACATTCCAAGGTCATCTGAACTGATTTCACTACAATATCAAATTTCTCTTGCTTCAGAATTTGTTCATGGTCCCTAAAAGTTTCTGTTGCTTCTGTGGCTATGTCAACACCAAGGAACCAAGCATTGCACTCATCCACAGGCTTCACTTGCCACAAGTTCTCAGAAACTTCTGCTGCTCCTCTGGAATCCTCCTCTGCTGTTTTGGGTTTTAGGGCAGCCATAATGGTCACAACAGTATTCAAAATTATTGGTGATATCTCGAAAAAAGAAAAAAGTCTTCAATTAAAATACAAAATCTATGATAAACAGAAATAGCAAACATGAAAAGACTTTTCAGGGATGCAACTTAAATTCCAAAGAAAAGAATCTATTCGTGGACCTCCTCCTGTTTTCCTTTCCTTTGCTGCACCACCAGGGGGAAGAGCTATTTTGTAACTTTGGAGGGAAGTGGTAGGAGGAATCCTAGAATCTGAAGTATTTAACTTATTCCTTTCTCGTCAAGGGACTGTCAAAATAACAAACACACAACTGCTTTTTCCAACACAGAGCAGTTCTTAAATGCATATTTCTGGAATTAGACTCATGGGGAAAGAAAAAATTTAAATAACAATATGCAAACAAAATAAAAATTATAATAATAATAATTTTAAAATCATTTTTTAAACCCTACACAACAACAAAAAACAAGCTACAGTTTGAGAAATGTAGCTGTTCTTCCAAAGACAATTTTAATATTCTTACCTTAATAGTTAGTTCCTCCATTGTTACTGCCACAGTGTGTAACCCTGAAGTGTGCACCATATTTTCCATGACCAAAAAGCATGGCCGTAACACCTGAGTGAAAACAATTTCATTATTAAGGTGACTCTTTAAATCTAAGCTTTCCATAAGGTTTTGTATTTTTTTCACTCCATAGGCCAAAGGGGCACTGATCCCTGAAGCAACAACGTCTCAGAGCAAAACCAACCCATGTAGTGCAACAACCCCACATCCCAATCTGCACAAGCACCACTTTGTACTGGAAGATTAAAAACCAGGGAAATAAAAGCTTCTGACATAATGCTTAAAAAGCAGACAAAACAAAAGCCCAACACACAGTGATAAAAGAGGAAAAAAAACCCTGAACCATTAAAAAACTGAAATGTTTAAGGGAAGATAAGCACATGTGAGATGAAGCACATGGGCCACCTTTGAGGCTCCCTGGGCAGGAATGTGCCCATGAAGTTCCAGACCAAAAGCTGCTCAGGGCTCCACTGCACCAAGGAAACCAACAGGCACTGAAAAACACTGCACAAGTGTCGGGTTTTCTCGGCTGTTTGAGGGGCCTGGAAAGGCCCGGGGTGGCCTTGGGGCAGCC